CATGGGAAAAAAATGTATGCTTTAGGTAATATTATTTGCCTCAAAGGTGGTAGGGAAGCATGAAGGGAAATTGAAAGAGACTATGTAAAATAAGGTACATATATCAAAAGAGTCATCTCTTTCCACAAACAGGAGGATACACTTACGTGTATCGTTGTTACTGATATCAAAGATGTTAGTAGTATTAACAGAATGGAATTACTCTGCCTCAACTGTGGAGCTTTTTTCCCCATTTTTTTCTGGTTGTACTATTCCATGTTACAATTTCCTTTTGTCGTTACTTTGATAGGTTGGTGGGTGCTTCATTACTAACAATTAGTGAGGCCGGATCTTTAACCAGCTACATAGAAGTGCTTCCTCATTCTTTTGTGATGGACAAAAAAGGAGTAGGGTCATGTATACTGCCTAGTGCTTTCTTATGCAGTAGCCTCCTACTGTCAGGAAACAATATAGTTATGGTATAATATGTGATGTGATAAAATATATGATATAATTCATTATTTTAAAAAAAAAAAAGGATTGATGATGTACCGGGAACATTTCACTTACAGAAGTTTCTTACCACATGAAATACTTCACTATAGTGTGTCTCCATGTCCATAGGTGATAGTCCCAACTGATGTAAAAATTGAGTTAATCAACCGGCTTTCCAAAACAGGCCTGCCTGCCATAGAAGTGACCAGTTTTGTTTCATCCAAATGGGTGCCTCAGGTATGTAAAATCATCACCATCAGAACTATTTTAATTTAAATGCCATTCCATGCAGTGGAGTTTTCCATTAGTATAGCCTATATAACCATACAATAAAATGGAACAGAAATAATGTTGTTTATCTGTAAAATTGTATGCTGTTGTCAGACATAATTTACATAGTTTTTAAGTTCTATGCTTTTATTTAGGTCAACTGAATTTGGGCTAATTATTAAAAAGTAGTAAAAATTGAAGAAAAGCCAGTAAGCTGTGCAGAAAGCTGGTTAAATCCCTAACTCATCAGCAGCAAGAGCATATTTCTCCAGAAGGAAAGAGGAACTGGAAGCCAAGCATGGTAACAAGGGGAGCAGAGGTTGTAGCCTTGTTGACCAAAGGGCAGTCCAGCAGTCTGGTGAGGGTAACCAGGGCAGCCAAGAGTACACATACTCAGGTGAGTTTGCAGTGATGTGGCAGGTCCTAGGTTAAGCTGGGAAGTGAAGTCTGGCAGACATAGACTCCAGACTCTGACCAACAGAAATTCTAGGAGTACAATTTGCCTTGACTACTAAATAGACTGTGAGAAATGCGAAAATGGAGACTCCCTTTTCACAGGGAGTCACACAGAAAAGACAAAAGGTAATGGGCACAAGTTGCTTCTGGAGAGATTCTGAACTCTAGAAGAAAATTTTTCACCATGAGATCAATCAGACATTGGAACAATCTCCCAGGGGAAGTGGCGGATTGCCCTACATTGGTCAGTTTTAAGAGTGAGCTTGACAGGGTGCTGACTCATCTCATTTAAACCTTGAAAGGTTGGACTAGATGATCCTTGTGGTCCCTTCCAGCCTGGTACTCTGTGATTCTATGAAATCTTAAATATTGTCATAGCTCTCCAAACATAAATAATTTAGCAGATGATTCCCAATTTGCCCGTTGTAGCAGGAGGGTAGGAATTTGTATGTGTGTGCATGTGCAAGGGACAGCAGTAAAGGGGGAGTAAGAGAATTGGTCACAAATGCTGAGTGGAGATAAGAGGTTTGGAGATGATGGATCAACACCATAAATAAAGGGCAACTGGGATATAGGATGCTGAGTATAGACATAAAGATTAAGATTTGAGAATATGTAGCAGACATACAGAGATCCACATGCTTACGTGTTTAAGGATCCTAGTTAAGGAGAGGTGTTGCAGATGCCATTCTGTTTTAGAGTTTGCTCACAAAGGAGTGGTGACTTTTGCAGTTAATAATTTAGAGAAAATTCTTCACAATCGATGTTAACATTATACTGTGGAATGGAGGCAAAGGAAGTATTTGTGCATTTTATTTTGCTCTGTATTTATGTAAACATTGTTGTAACTAAAGAATTGAGATAGTGACACATCATTAATATAGTTTAATATTTGTTCTACCTCTTTTCCGCTTTTCTGAGAACTAATAGTCATCAATGTAAAAAACAAAGATAGTGTACCTTTTTGTTTTCTTTTTCCCTAAATGCAATTTAATTTTCCACATTTGGAAGTGTGTTTGGAAGATCTAAATTTGAGATGTTCATAAGTAGTTCATAATTTAGTAGTTTCATAATTTAGTCATTATTTTTCTAAAATTAATTTATACATTTGGTACAATTCAGCAGAAATCCTAGCCTTTCTGGAGTCCACAGCAAAACTTCATTGGCACTAGAAGTGCTAGGTTTTATTTTGCGATTTAACACTGCAAACTGAGGCTTAGTCCTGAAGTATACTATGTAGCTCCTGTTTGTGCAAATTTAATTATTCCCTGCAAGTAAGGAAATAAGTCAATACTTGTCTTTATAATTTAAAATATTTTTCAGGAAATTACACATTTGTTTGCACAGAAGCATTTGAGTATTTGTATGTTTAGCAAAGGACCACACAAGGTACTTACAAAGTAAAATATGAAATGAATTAATTTGAGAAAATACTTCAAATTTTAACATTGTATGTTGCACTTCTGTCAAAACATAGATAAGGTTAGACCATTTTAGACTGAGAATACATCCTAGGCCTGGACTGCATTCCAGGCTTTCCTCTGAGGAAAACATAGTACAATCATACTTTTTCTTATTCATGAGTTAGCAGAACAAACTTTACAGCAACCTGAGGGACTCTTTTGATATATTTCAGTGTTCTTGGGATAACCAGGTGAGGGTCTAAAGAAAGTGTAATAAGACACAGAAAGAGAACAGCGACAATGTAGAATTTCTTTGGTGTCAATACAGGGGCAGTGATATTGTGACCATTAAAAGTGACATGGCTAAGTTTTTCCAAGTGCCATCAAGCTTTGGCAGTTACAGCAACAGAGTATAATGTGGGATTTTAAACATTAGAACGAAAATTGTAAAGCAAAGGTGGATTTCTTCCTTTTTTGTTTAATTGTTTCCTTTTCTTGTGAGCCATTCAGCGTACCAAATTTAGCGCAGGTTTGTCAGTTTTGGAAAAAGTGAACAATCTCGTCTTATCTTAAATTCATGTCTGAATACTTTATTTAAATGACTTAATTCATGTTTTAAATTGTTTTTATTTAAAAGAGAAGATTTTGTTGCTTTTGAGTGCAGTCTTGACTTTTTCTTTACTCCTTTCTTTTTTCTTTTCATAGGTCATGGGAATAGAATTCACGGTTATGTTTAGATCACTCATTCACTTATTTCTTTTTTTGTAGTATTTTAAAGCTCTTTTATGGTTTCCCATCCACTGTTTTTTTTGGCAGAGATATTTTTACTGAAAAAAAGCTAAAAGAAAAAGTTCCACAGTAGAGAGGTGCCATATAAAACAGGATCCCACACCTATAACCTAAATGGCCAAAAATTATAAATACCTACCATTAGAAAGCTTGTTTTTAATGAAATTTGAAAATGAAATATTTTATTAAAACTTACGGTCTTATAACATTCAATATGTGTTAAAATGGGATTTTACTTATAGGAAAGCTAGTAATGGGACAAATGTAATATCTATAATATTATTTGGATATGGCCACCTTATCCTGATTGAAAAAGTGTCATTTTGGTTTTCTAGCATGTTTTAAGTCAGGCTGTAATTTTAAAGCATGGAATTTGTTCCAGCATTTGCCATTTAATTTATCATTTTGGTTTCAAACATTCTTCCCTGGCCTGAGAAATGTAGATACTATTAAATTAAATGATGAAAAATTGTTCTTAAAAAACTGAGTCATTACCAAATGCTTTTGTTTTTCTTGAGATTATCGGATATGTTAGGTGTTTATTGGATATGTTAGGTGATCACACTGATTATGTAGGAGCAATTGCAGAAAGTTGCTTTGTACCATCACTTGTTTCCTGATGTGAAATGAATTGTGTCTGGCAATAAGACACTTTTCATACTACATAGCCACTTTCTTACAGATACATATTGAGCTTATGTTTGAGGAATTGTACATGCATTTCTGTAATATTTTTAATCCATTCATTTTCATAGTAGGAAAAAAGTGACAGGAAGATTCCAAGTTGCCAGTAGTATTGCTACTTAATAATCTGATATAATTTAGTATCACCTATTTAGAATTATGGTACTGCAAAGCTGTCAATAAAGTATCCATTGGAAAAAAGGAGTTCAGGTTCACTTATGCTTAAGATTGTGAAGTCACATTTATCAGAGTGCCAAAGTTTTCAACATAAGGATGGTTTTAAAATGTCAGTTATTCTGTTAATTCCACCTGTTGAGTCCATTGAGGTAAGTTTACAGGTGCAAGAACAGTTGAGCATCAGCATGATCACAAGTCAATCAATTTATGACACAGATTATGTTTTTACAGATACACACAAAAAGAAACACTGTAGAAATCTTAGCCCCAGTTCTGTATTAATATAGAACTGGAAAGTGTGCAACTCAAATACCCCAAAGTTAAGAAATCCAAAAAAAGAGTGCTTTTAATCCCTTTGTTGTTACACTTTTTATATGAACTGCATGCCTAACGAAGACAAAAACACAGTCTAAGCCAATTTCTGCTTAGCTATATAAAATCAGAAAATAACTGCTGATCGATCCAAGTTATTTATGTGTTTTAGATGGCAGATCACAAAGAAGTAATGAGGGGCATTGAGCAGCATCCTGGAGTTCATTATCCTGTTCTCACACCTAATCTTCAAGGTTTTCATTCTGCTGTAAGTGCCTTCCACAATGTTTCATGTTTCAGACACTTCAGTTCAGTACCATAAACTTGCTATTTAATGTCATATAACCTGTCCTGTTGGAACTATAGATTTTTTTAAATTAAAAACTCTCATTTTCCTTGTGAAAAATGGGCAAATTCACAGTGATGTTAAGCTCCATTAATTCATATTTTAATGAATGCATTGATCAGTCTTTTGCTAGTTCCTGTAAGTGTTAGTGTATAAAGATAAAGACAGTTCCTTCTCCTTCTTTGACTTGTTAGCCCTAGAAAAGTTTCTGAAGAATGTCTTCTGATTGGAAAGAAGTGAAGAAGAATAAGGAAAGAGCCATTTAAATGAATATACTTTATAGGGATGTATAAGTTTCTTAAATTCTACGTGACCTTTTGGTAGGCTTTGAAAGCATACATTGTTTCAGTTCATACAAAATAAATATTCAAAATTATAGACTTGAAGTGTTTGGTATTGCGAAAATAGCTGTATTTGGAAAGCATATTGCTTGAGGGACATTTGTGGTATAGTCTGTCATTCAGTTTCTGTACTGTATATGAAATCTCTGTTAAAACAGGATCCTGTATATAGGCAAGTTATATATCAATAGTCAGGTTTATAGTGCCACAACTTTGTCTGCTATGGTAGCTTTTATGAGTTGAATTAAATCTGCTATATCTCTGTCATTTTAGTGATAAAATAGAAGGATAACAATGCAAAAATAGTTGTAGGTGATTGCTGAGTTCTTTCTTTAGGCTATTTTTTTCCTTCCTTCTATTTGAAAGGATGTATGTAAGGGTTGCTGAAGCGTAGACATTATCCTGCAGAAGCAGAGAAATGTTTCATTCTTTGTTACAGAACAAGATTATTATTCTCACTGGAGAGTGAGAATTCATTAATTAGCTCTTCTCTTAAGCTTAAATGTTTTCTTCTCCTAACATTTGGCATTGAGCATTCTAGTTTGCCTCATGCTAGTTGATTTTCTGAGTACTGAGGTACTGAGCACAAGCTCAGGCTAAGTGCCCCTTCAGTAAAGTCACCACATTGACACATTTTCTAGACTGGTATTTGCTCTGAGACTATTTCTTAGCAGACTGTCACATACATCTTTTCCATAGTATCCATATTGACTATGACACCAAGACCAATGGAGTCCTTGGTCCTGGAGTTGGCTCTAACAAGGAGATCCCTGTTGGTTATTGTTGCTGCTCTAGGCTCATGCAGGCACAGAGCTTTCCTAAGCATGAGAATGACTTCCTGGCATTCATGAGAAACAGGATTTGTACAGAGGATGGATATTTCAGAGTTGTTATATGATCTTTTCCTTTTCTGAAAAATGAATATAAGTATCAATCATTGTTATTTTCATAGTTGGTTCATGCAATTTCCTACACCTTAATACCTTTATCATTTATCACTTTAAAAATATGTTTCCTTAATTGCTAAGAAGAGGAAGGAAATATGCCATTGTGAATGAACTCAAAATTTTATTCACTCTGTTTATATGCAATACATTTTTAAAAAATGCATATGAAACTTCTATTTTAGATATGGATGATATACTGTACTTTAAAATTCTAGAAAGTCATACAGAATCAAATGCTGAATCTAATATTTTAATATAGTGTTATCATTCTCTTTTATTGAAATGTATTTTTCAGATTGCAGCAGGGGCTACAGAAGTCTCAGTATTTGGTGCAGCATCTGAATCTTTTAGCAAAATGAATATTAATTGTTCAATTGAAGAAAGCATAGAAAAATTTGAAGAAGTTGCTATATCTGCAAGGAATATGAATATTCCAGTGCGTGGGTAAATATAAAGATTCTTAATACAGAGTTATTGGAGTCACTGTTACAGGGGGTTTTTAGTACCAGTACAAAAGTATACTACAAAACTCTTACTTTTTTAGTTTAATTGAAATAATAGTCTTTACTGTAATTTTTATTTTTAAGATTGAATATATTTAATCATTTTGCTCTGTGTTTTGTAATTTCCTCTGGAAATTGAAAAATAAAATAAGCTGAGTGTATAAACATACCCATTTTATTATACAGATTTATTTTTCTCATCACAGATGACAGAATGAAATTTATTTTGTCCTGCTGAGATCTCCTAAGAATGTTGCCTGCACCTTAAAAATGCCCGGCAAGCTTTTAATTTTTATAGTATTGATAATATATAACTTCATACACTGTAGAATCAAGGTATAAAAATGATAGAACAAATTTACTCCTAAGAAAAAAGTATTCTCGATATAAGTTATTCTGAAAACTCCAGGCTTTGGAGTTTTCAGAGTCTCTAGTGCATGAAACTCTGAAATTGTCCAGTATATATCTTTCTTTAGAGTACCTTCTTTTAAACTTGAAATAATCCTGAATGGTACTCACTCTTGAACACT